TTTGAGATAGGGTTTCACTCTTGTTGCACAGGCTGGAATGCAATGGCATGATCTCAGCTTACCACAGCCTCCGCCTCCCAGGTTCAAGCGATTCTCCTGCCTCTGCCACCCTAGTAGCTGAGATTACAGTCATGCACCACCATGCCTAGCTAATTTTTGTACTTTTAATAGAGACGGGGTTTTGCCATGTTGGCCAGGATGGGCTTAAACTCCTGGCCTCAGGTAATCTGCTCTCCTCGACCTCTCAAAGTGCTGGGATTACAGGCGTGAGCAAGCCACTGTGCCCAGCCAAGAGATCACCTTTAATATAATAATTTAAGTCCTTTATTAGGCAGGTGCAGTGGCGAGCGCCTGTAGTCCTAGTTACTCGAGAGGCTGAGGTGAGAGAATCACTTGAACCCCAGAGGCGGAGGTTGCAGTGAGCTGAGATCACGCCATTGCACTCCAGCCTGGGCAACAGAGCAAGACTCCATCTCAAAGAAAGAAAATAATAATAATTTAAGACTTTTAAGACAAATGTCTAGATGTTTCTCTCAGGGTTGTTTATAATAGCAAGAGTATAAAACAACCTAAATGTTCAACAATGGGACAAAAGTTAAAAATATTCTAATAGATAATCCCAGCTACTTGGGAGGCTGAGGCAGGAGAATTGCTTCAACCTGGGAGGTGGAGGTTGTAGTGAGCTAAGATCGCACCATCACACTCCAGCCTGGGTGATAGAGTGAGACTGTCAGGGGGAAAAAAAAGGTGATTTCTTAACGATAATTGCTTTTGTCTTGAGTTCAAAATTTTGTGTGACTTTGAACTGCTGGTTCTGTTTTCAATATCCTCAGTCTCTCTTAATTCTCTTGCCTTGTTCTTCAGTGGGAAATTCTTCACAGTCAAGCTCCCAGTTGCTCTTGATCCTGGGGCCAAGATTTCAGTCATTGTGGAGACAGTCTACACCCATGTGCTTCAGCCATATCCAACCCAGATCACCCAGTCAGAGAAACAGTTTGTGGTGTTTGAGGGGAACCATTATTTCTACTCTCCCTATCCAACGAAGACACAAACCATGCGTGTGAAGCTTGCCTCCCGAAATGTGGAGAGCTACACCAAGCTGGGGAACCCCACGCGCTCTGAGGACCTGCTGGATTATGGGCCTTTCAAAGATGTCCCTGCCTATAGTCAGGTAGGCTCAGGTGGAGTCCAGCCCATCCCTATCTGCTTCAGAGAATATCTTGCAGAGTGACTGGTTGATAGGCTTGGCTGGTATGGGGTGTTTGAAATCTGAAGTCATTTATAAGGTCATCCCAAAAGTGTTTAACCTGCAGTGAATTGACTCCATGGGAGTCTTGTTTCTCCTTTGGGGATCACAGGTAGAGGCTGGGGGTAGCGTTTCAAGAGGTGGAATGGGAGTTGGGGGAGTTGGAAGCAAGGCATTCCAGGCAGAGGCAGTAAGAAGGACAAAGGCCTTGAGATGGTGTGGCTGGGCAGATACTGGGGTAGCAAAGCTGTCGGAGTGGCTGAGGGCCTT